TTGTGAAAAATGTATTTGGCCTCCAACAAAACAGTGATACTAGTCTCTAGCAAGTGTGATTGTCGAGACGTACTACTACAGGTGATGTGCTGTCCGAATAAAGCGCATCTGTGGCACAGAGCAGCTCACAGCTGTATTTGTGAAGGGGTTTTGGGGGTATTTTCATAAATGATGGGTAATATATAGTTATCATCATGATGCCTTGTGGAGCTAAATTAAGGAAACTGTTCCGCCATTCCATACGGAGAAAATTCCGAATGAACCATTTCATAGCATTAATAAGAGAATCAGTTATCGGTGAGGAATTATGGGGAACATACAAAGAAAACATGAATGAAATTATAGCAAACTAAGACCAGTGCTCGTTTTATGAATCTCGATTGGTGTATGCTACTCAACAGCAAACTGTCTAGTCGGAAGTGTCACCTTAAAATCCTTGAATTTTCACGTGTAACTTTAAACTATCAAAGAATAACTTGATTCACTCCAAAATACAACCTGTAAAAGCCATCGTTGAATTCAACATACAAAAAGAAGGATTTTCTTCTCAGTATATCACTTAAGGTGGTTAGATATATATAGCATCATAATAACACAGACCTCTGTTTGGTCGAATACAATTCGGTTTATCACAATGATAAATGCAAGTATGCAAATCAATCAGGTGTAACAATGCCATGAGCAGCCAATGGCATAGTCGTGAAGGCTATGAGAGGCCAGCAGTCAAATAAAATGAGTAGAGAATGTGATGCGCTGCTCTGACTGTTGATGAGTGTTGCACCTAAGGGAAGAAAGTGGTGTTGCGTTCTTTGCACTCGAAACTATTTAATGTGCAATTTCATGTGACCATAAAAGGTCACTAGAGAATATAAAACAATATATTTCACAGAGGAGATGTGGTGCATGATGCAAGATGAGAGCGGATGTGGGGAAGTGACTGTTCGCTTTATGTGCGATCGTATCGACGTTCAGGCAGGGGCAAAGACAACGTGGCGATCAGATTCATTTCATGTTATTTGAAATTGCGCCTCTCATATTCCCTCCACCCAAGGCTAGCCTTCTTACACTCAGTTAACGTACTTGATAGACTCGTTTATCTTTTGTGTAATAACAAATTCTACCACCAAGTCGATGGCATTGCTATGGGTTCACCCCTCGGACCTGTTCTCGCCGACATCTCCATGGCCAAGTTAGAGACAACTTACTTATCTATAGTTATAAGTAGTTTTGATCAATATCAAAGATCGAAAATCAAAGATTTATAATGGGAATAACTTACAATTTCATGCTTTTCTTGTCCCATAGGATGATGCATACAATTCCTTGTGTAAAATGTCGCACGATACGGGATTCTTCCACTGCTGCACGCAGCTTCACTTATGTTTGAATGTAAGGTGTGCTAATGTTTCATCGAGTCTCAGTTTGAAAGATTCAGTGCTCAGTGTACAGACGACCTGGGGTAGGGGAGGGTTCCAGATGGAACACACTATGATTGAGAATGACTGACACCGGCATTCCAAGCAGAATTTTGAGACCACTAGTTTGAATGGGTGTTCTCTAAGATGAACTTGGGGGATAATTTCAGAAGCGGACGACACGGATGAACTGGATTTTGCATTATTTGGTATACCATATTCATATCTCCTCTGATGCTTCGGTAGTGATTGGAATATAACTCCAGCGACTTCAATCTCTCTGCGCATGAATAACGCTTCAACCCCCTGACCATTTTGGTGGCCATTCCTTGTGGACGCTCCAGAATTTTGCAATCACGTTGTAGCCATGGATTCGAAACCTGGATGGCGTACTCTGTAAGAGGGCAAATGTACGCTGATGGTAGATTGGGGATAAGCGCTGACTCAATCCGTTCAAAGACCCACTTAAGCAAACCGTTACATCGAGCATAACTTTCTTTCGACTAATAAGAACACTAATCTTGCCCGTGTTGAGTTAGAATTCAAGTCAACACATTCGTCAATTGAGTTCACATATGAACCAGAGGATCTTCATCCGATTATACGCCCCGATCGCTCAACCCAAACAAAGGTATATCGAAAAGCAACATGGAGTGGATAGTATACAAATTTTCATAACTCTCTATCAAAAATCTATCAAAAACGCAATCTCATACGTTGTCTCCTCCAGACAGCAAGGCGCATCTGTTCAGAAGATGGTTTAATGGACGAACAGGTGATGAGAACCTTACTGGGAAATGGCTATCCTGAGAATTTTATCAACCGTAATTGGACTGAACAGAATAAGGCAACAAAAATACCAAAGCGGAGAAGAAATGCTTTTTATAGAATTGTCATTCAAGGGTGATATCTCCGCTGACAGGGTCAGAAGAGTTTAATCCCCGGCAGCGAAATTCACCCTTAATGCCACTGAGCTAAGATGCGTATTCTCTACGTCACCAAACATCCAATGATACAACAAAAATAAGCTGCATATGTTGACCTCGTCTATGGTTGTCTATCAATTCAAGTGCATCTGTGGTGCGACTTAAGTAGGTTGAACGACAAGGTAGTTGTCCACACGGATCTAGAAACACAATCCACGCTGGCTCACACAGGGTTGGATTGGAACTGTGTCAAGCTCGATCGGTGATGGCGGCCAAGTGGGTAGGTCACCAACTTCTGACCCGGAAGTCTCGGGTTCGATCCACTCCACCGCCACCCGTCCTCCCTATTTCCGTATTTTCCCCAAGCAGCCTTTGTATAACCGCAGCTCCCTTCCTGAAAGTTGACTGTACATTTCTATATTCACTAAATAAAAAAGGAAGTAAAAAGACATTTTTTTCTGATTTGGTCGAGACGGGACACTTGGTTGACATGCGCTCGGCATTTGCAATCACTTATCCAGTCTCACCACACACCCCCCCCCAGAGTAATCCGGTTTCGGACGTTAGCAACCGTAGAGACGATTCACATCCGACTGATGATGCCTGAGGTGTGAGCACAACGAAACCTCATCCAAGCTCTGAAGCTCCCCTGGCCAGTGGAAGGGAAAATCATTTACCTATATGACTATGACGTAATATACCGAATTTTGTTTGCTTAATCCAGACAGCAAACAAACTTGAAATTATCTGCGTCTCATTAGCAATCATATAACTTATTCGCCCCTCTTTCTTTGACCCCATTGAAATTGTTGCATATAAATGTTTTTAGAGTAGCAAGCTTGGATTAGCTGACGAGTCCCAAACAGGACGAAACAGCTGTTCAGTGCTGTTTGTCGGTCATCATATAAATGTGATCGCAAAGGCTTGAAAAGGAATTCACCGAAAACATGTTCACCTACATTAGTGTTCCTAAGCTGAGCTGTGTTCGACAAATTATTATATCATAGATGTCATAATATATTATTGATAAAACCTTCTGTACATCAGAGCCTTGTGTTTTTCATGTCCAAGCCAACTGTGTGTTTGCGTTTGAAGGACAAAGCTCCCTACTCGGCGGTCTCATTCTTAGTATACTCATCTACTCGCTCCTGTAGAACAACGTACGCGGTTAACCAACTGTCTGAATGGATTCGTGAACACCACACTGCGTGGCTGATCACGAGTAAGTTACTTACCAGTTCAGTGGTCTTCCACCAATCTGAAACAAATCACACTGTACCCGTGGCCGAGGCTTCCTCCACTCTGAATAAAGTTTGTGGGCAATTGTCAAGGCAGGTGCGATGTCGGATCTAGCCGTTCCACGTAAGACCTTAATCGCTGATGGAAATCAGTTTTTCGTTTTTCGTTCTTAGCTCATTTGTCCCTCTGCTATACTGCAACGTAGCTGTATCCAAAAGCTATTTGGATGGTTGAAAGCAGACTTAACTCGGAAGAGTCCATCTATTTCACACAACATAATGCTATTTGAGGACCGGATACAAAACAAACGTTTAATTTGAGCATTAACAGATTTGTATCCTTGGTTAATTCCTACTGTGCTCATAGTTCTAATAAAAAGAATAGTCTCATTATTTCATTTTTTTTCTATTCACTTGATAGACAATAAATCTTCATGAATATTCGATAAGAGGGGGAGCACTAGATACTGGTTGCTAATCCGTAAGTTGAAATCGGGTTGGTGGTGATATTGACCAAGATGCCTCATATAACTACAGTGAAATACGTTTAACAACAGTAATAATGACGAACTCTAACAACAGTCTCGTCTATAGTCGTATCAAACAATGAAATTAGTCACGTTTGACGCAGATCTCAAAACAGTGCAAGTGTGTTCACAATCCTAATCAATATCAGCAACAGTGCAAATCCATCAAGCCGATTGAAAATCGAACCCAAGCAGCGTGTTCGACTAGCTCAAGCAGACCGACGTCCAACACATTCTAGAACGATATTGAACAAATGGTCTGCACGATTACATCGCAATAAAACGTGCTCTTGTGTGTCTATCAGCCGTAAATTACACGTACTGAAATCGGTTCCCAATCGACAGCTAATCTGAACTACATCTTAGAAACACATAAACAGTCCGTATAGGCCCGAATCAGCCTTTGGTTACGGTCGTTCAACAATTGTTAGAGTAGTATCCAACAGAACTTTTATTATTCACAAACATTTATTCAAAATTTTATTCACCGTGCTATGCAGGTATGAACAGAAAACATTTTGGACGTCGGAATAGGGGGTACGGGATGAACACAAGAGATAGCTAACGGTCATTTTGGTCGCTTGTTACAGGTTAAAGAACAAATGGAATGATGAAATAAGAGACATGGTGATAATATGAAAAACGTAATAAAAAGAGAGTGTTAATGAGGATATGATAGTTTGAATGACTTTCAAATGTTTCGTCATTCAGACAATACTTCTATCAGTTTCTATTGTTTTTTGTTGTTGTTGGAAGAGCATCTTACAAAGGACCTTGTTGGTTAGAAACCGGATGTATTAAAAAGCCGGCTTGATGCATGATCACTTAGTATGTGATCGGTTAGGGAAGGTTTGAAACCAATTCAAGCGATGTTGGTGTGTCTTCAGAGAAACTCTATTTTAATCCATTCGCTTGGGCGTTTTTCTTCTCTGCATCTTTTCTCTCATAGTAGTCCGAAATGAAACCTTTGGGAACATTTTTGTACAATTCCGGACGGGACAGATCTTCCGAGTTGACACAGTGTGCTTGTGGTCCATTTTCCGGGAAAAACAGGAAATCGTAAATAACCTGATTGAAGGAGGGTGAATATAGACGGTGCGTTGAAGTGAAGTTGAACACCAGGTATATCGAAATAGCGTAAAAATGAGTCACTCTATTAAAATACAATACTAATACAAGCCAATTTCGTGTTTTGTTCTGGATGACTGAATAACATCTTGCAATAACATGGCTCAAACTATAGAGGAGAGATAATGAGTTTTCGTTACAACTAGCTTTGCGCAGAACCACTCCTGATCATAAAAAACACACGGAAGCGAGATAGTTTTGAATGTTCTATTTGCCAGCCACGCTTTGTTCACATCGCATGTAACATTAATGCCCAAATATCCCTCATCCGGACGAGCTCTATCAAAAGGTGCACACGCATTGTGTTAGCACATAAACGTTAATGTGTATTTATATAAAACTATTTTGAAGATTTTCATAGTTGTTTAAATCAAATAATGACTTGAATGTTTATTCTGGAGGCAAAGACAAAGTAAGTAAGTGAATCACACAGTTTTGAGGAGATGAATTTGCTGCCCTACTGAAAGTTAGAATAATAAATCAATGACGATTGCCCAATCGATAGAAAAAAATGAATCATCCCGGGAAAGATGACTTTCAAATGTTTTACAGAAACAAAATTCTTGCTGGGCAATTATTTCCACTTCTATATCACGGATTATAAATTCATAGAGCAAAAGCTCTTTACCTACTAATCATAATATACGTGATTGACACCACGTGGCTGTTATATTAAGAGGTAAATGTTTCCATCTATAGATGTAGGATAGTAGCTATTGAGTTCCATTGATAGGTAAACGGAGCATCCCAAGTGCAGTTGCTTCTACGCTGTTTGTTGAATGCACTTCGAGGGATTGCTGAAAGCCATCGCTTGATAAGCATACTCATTTACGATGGTGTACATTGTTGTTTGTGTAGCCCTGGTGGTATAACTTGATGTCTAGTTGTTTGCAAAGCTCGGTGAATAACTAAACATCAAAATAGACGCTTGTGGCCAACGAAGACAAACTTCCTGATATGTGATATCTTGATATCTTGCACGGTTGTGATGCATCGGTTTTTCTCATCGAGAGAGTGAAAACACATGGCAATCCATCAGATCAGTTTGTATCCGGACCAGAAACCTTAGAGACAATAGAAAACTGAACCAGATTATTCTTGCAATGTCCCAATGTTGGTTCTTAGCCTTCCAAGTTTTCGATTGAATTAAACATTGACAAATCACCAATCATCTTCAGCTTTCTATTCGGATTCTCTTTTCGAAATGTCCTATAAAGAACTTTCCTTGGTGCTGAATTCGATTGAACGACACGAAAACTAAGTGTGAACTGTAAAGCTCAGACGAACTTTACAGTTGTCCAAACCTCGATCAGTGTCATCAACCGTCCACAAGTCCATCGACCCAACTGATGAGCGGACGTGGGAATCCACAGGTGAGATGCAAGCATTGAAACTCACTCGAACACCAAGCAGCTCGTCACACACTATTCCACATTGTCTTTATCGAGCATAGTACATCTGATCTTTCCAAGATTGTTACACGCTCCTCACCTAGCGCATCTTCGTACTGGTCTCCAGGGTTATGACGCGCGGGGGGGGGTCCAAAATGGGATTATCTGGTACAGCCACTTACCTGCGTATGGAGTACCCATTTAGTAGAAGTCTTTCTATAGGAAAAGACATTACTTTCCATGAATGAATTTGAGCTTTCCCGTTCTCTTTTCATCGCACGATCAACTCTCTCTTTGTTCGTTTTCTTATCGCACTACACAGTGCGAATACACAAAGAACTATTTCATGAGGATTATGTTACATCCCGTGCAGGACAGAAGAAAAAACAATGAAATTTATATTTGCTGATCTATTGCCTGAATTCCGCAAACTTGGTTCGCAATAAACCTTATACTTCCTACAGGTTAATCTCTAGTCTCGAATAAATTGGGATATAGTGCGAAAAATTAAGATATGTCGAGTGCATGGTTTAAGTAACATAAACCGGGATAATATATTTTGGAACAGTGCCAACTACCTTCTATGCCTGTTCATTAACAATATACCCTCTATAGTATGAAGGATTTCGACCTACAGATTCCCAAAGCACGGTCCTTCTTCGTTGCCATAATTAATGAATAACAATTAAGAAAGTCTTTCCTACGAGAACTATGATTAGGTGAGTCACAAACGTTTCGAACACACTTACACGGCATAACGATTTGTGATACGGCAAGTGTGCATAGAATTCCGGGGCCATTTCTTTTAGTTTGGGCAATCTGGTGAACGGGATATAGGGAAAATCATGATGTTCCACGTGATAACCCAAATTGTAGATTAACGGATTCCAAAATCCGTAGTACGAATGTGTGGCCTGTTGATCGGCAAACAGATAGTGCTCACTGATAAAGTGTCCGGTCATCGGATGCGGCCCAAGGCCGAGCAATGTCCCGAGGATCAGATAGGCGAACGCCCAAAATCCCAACGCACGAAGTAGAACCAGATCGAATGTGATCTGAACAATGAAATTGATGATTTCCCACACGGTGATTGGTCGTGGAGCTTTGATGAATGGACGGAAAGCGTAGATTAATGGATGAAGGAATAACCATATCAAACGTGTGAATGGTGTGGAGAAAAGTCGAGCCTCTATTCTCAGTGGCATATCAGCATCTGCGTCTTCATGTCCGAGCCAACTGTGAAGAGAAAATGATCAGAAGAAATTAGTTTA